TTCCTTTGTTTGGATGCACCATTGTTTATGTATCCATCACCTATTGAAGGACATTTTGGTGGCTTTCGAGTTTTGGAAATTAGATTTTTGTATAAATATAAGTTTTCAGCTCATCTGGGCAAATACCAAGGAAAGAGATTGCTGGATCATACTGTAAGGGTATGTTTAGTTTTATGAGAAATTGCAATTGCACACTGTCTTCCTAAGTGGCTGTGCCATCTTGCATTCCCGCCAGCCATGAATGAGAGATACGTTCTTAAACTCAGGAAATTGTGCATGTCTTTTATTTGGGAACCTAGTGTTACAGAGATTAAAAGTGAGAGTTTGGGACCAAATTCCTAAATTCAAGCCCCAGCTTCCCCATTTGCCGGCTCTGATCTTGAGCAACTCAACGTATCTGTGCCTCAGTTTCCTTTAGTTGTAGAGTAGGAATAATAATACAAAAATAACTTCATTGGGTTGTTTTAGGAATTAAAAAAGTTAATACATGCAAAGCACTTAGGACACTGCCTGGCATACAGAAAGTGTTACATCATAGCTGATTTTATATCGTCCCTTTTTCCTGATGGCCGATTATCCCTATGTTGGCATTCCATCCTCTGTTCTTTATTTCACTTTCTTTTCTTCTACTTCATCTTTTTCTTCTGATTCATGAAAGAGCTTTTTAAAAGAATATCCTAAACATAACTGAATCACTTTCCACAGCATCCATTCAGTTCTCCAGTATGAGTTTAACTATGCTGCTTCATTTTAAATATGCTTGCTGTATATTTTTATACTTTTTCATCTAGAATGTCTTTTTAGTGTTTTGCTTTTTTTCAGTTCTCATATTTTTCTATCCTATTTCATTCAGGCCATGTCTTCTTGCAATCTACTGAGAATATCAACTTGTTCCCTGAAATTTTCTAGTGCCTACCTTAGATCTTTTTTGAAATCTGCTCTTAGAGACTTCCAGTTTATCCTTCCCTTTCCTTTGTGAATTTGTTTTTCATATACTGTTAGGATTTCCAAGTTTAATGTTTGTCAGCCAACAGTGACTTGATCTTAGACCCTCCATCCAAAAACCTGGGAAGCTGTAAAGTGCGTGAGCCACACATCGAACAATATAAAAGCCTATCTATGCACATCCATTGAGGGCTTTTCTGCCAGGGACACACGGACAGACTGGCGTTGGACTCCCTTCGCGGCTGACTTAGGCGTACACCACGCGCTGCTGTAGGGCTGAACTCGGTAACACCACTTCTCGATTTCCTTTAGCATTAAAAAAAAAAAATGTGGGCTGCGACCCATTTGAGAGTCCTGAAGGCCATATAATGGGTCACACAAGAATTTTAAAATGACCAAGGAATAGAGCACTAATTAGAATGCAGGACAAGAAATAAAGGCAAATAATGCACCGTGCAGCGTTTCTCTGCGTTTTAAAATTATACACGTGTGTAAACGTGTATCTCTCACACTCCGTTCGGTCACACAAACTTGAGAGTCCCCGGGGTCCCGCTACTCCCACCTGAGACGTCCAGAAGCCGGGGACTGGAGCGGAGAGCTCCCGGCCCCGCTCAGCGGGAACTCTGACACGTTGGCTGAGGCCTCTGGGAAATGGAGTTCTGCGTCGTGGCGCATTCTGGGAACCGTAGTTCTGCGCGGCCGCCGGGCAAGACGAGCGGGGGAGGGGTTCTCTCCGCGCGACCGGAAGTGGCCGTTGAAGCCGGCAGAGGTTGGCGCCGGGGAAGCGCACCCTCTTCGGCTCCCTTCGCTCGGTCTGGTGCTGGTCCCGGCGCTTCCGGACGCGCGATCGGAGAGTGGGGAGCGCCCTGGAGGGAGGGAAGCCCAGGTATCACCATGGCAACCGCCAGCCTTGCGGCCACGTGACGTCATCGTCCTCGCCCCGCTGGAAGCGGCCTCTGAAGGAGGGAGCTGGGGAGTCCTCGGAGGGGGCGCCCCTCGCCTGCTTCGGCGCGGGGCGGTTCCGCCCTGATCCCTCGGAGGGCTTTGTTCTTTTGTTCCGGCCTGGGAGGAAGGGCCGGGGGCGGCCCCGCCCCGCTGGTCCAGCTTCCAGCGTTTCCAGCCCGCAACAGGTGTGCCTTCCCGTTCGCGAGCCGGGGTGTGAGCCCGCAGGTGTGCACGGAGGTAACGGGCCGGGTCCGGGGGCGCCTCTGGCCAGGCTGCGGGGTGGGCACCAAGGGGTTTTGAATCTGGGGCCGAACCAGCGTACTCGACTCCACTCTCTTTTTGTTCAGCGGGTGCGCCTGTGGCTCTCGGCGCACACTTTTTTCCCCCCCAGGGATCTCTTAGCCACTGTGCAAAACTCTGTGCAGTTGTGACGCAGGCTGCTGACCTCGGGGCTGTGTCTTTTAGGGCTGCCTCGCTTCGCCCGTGTAAGGGCTCAGCCGGCGCAGACTCCCGAGGCCCCCCCGACCGAGGTCCGCAGCTGGAAGGACGCTGCGTGGGAAACCCTGGTGTCCAGGCTGCGGAGGAACGGGATGCGCTCCTGAGATGGAAGGTAGCGGGGGCGCGAGAGGGGACCCCGCGCTGGGGGAGGCAGGAGTGCAGTCAGGACTGGGAGATCGACTACTTGACAGAAATCGTAGGGGTGGAAGCGGGGAACCGTATCTTAGGGAGAGGGAAAAACTGCATTACATCATGGGGAGAGATTCTTACATGGAGAGACTTGCGGAAGAGTGAAGTCTCCGGCTTCGGGAGTGGGAATGAGGAGAGGTGACTCAGAGTGTCTGTGATCCGCAGGTGACTTCTGTTTCTTAACTATTAGAACGGTAATCTTGCAGTCGGAAAAAATCTTGGTAATCATTCCTTCAATGCAAGAATTAAAGTATCCCTGACAGACGGCCGTCTGTCAAGCCTATGCGAAGTGTGGCATTAAACTGCATTTTGGGTGCTAACTGTTCCCTTGTTGGCTCTTTGTTTTAGTTCCTCATATGAGGCAGAAATGCCTATCCCTGTAACTTCTGTTGGGTCGTAGTTCTTAGTCTCCGAAAGCCAGAGACTTGCTCTCTCATTCACAGTACTGCCCTCCGGAATGTAATTTCAGCCGGTACAACTCCTACTCGCAGATTCTTTTCTAAGCAAAACCGCCCCAGTTCCTTTGATGGATCTTATAGGACACATCTGGGCCTTGTCGACGCTCCCGCAGGAGAGGATGCTTCTTAAAATGCATTGCCTAAAATTAAACATAGTTCTTAACAAATGCTTTGAAGAATACCTAAAAGGACTACTTTAAGTTTGGATTATATTTCTGCTGTTCGGCACCAAAATTATATTTACTTTGAAAAAAAAATCGGCGATATTATGCCATAAGCCCTAGATCTCTCTTACAAAAACTGTAGGGAAGTAGATTTATGCCATCCTGTGTAAGAGACTTGTTTTTTATCCTTAATATCAGGACTTCACATATACGATTGTTTAGTTTTTTGGCCAAGTGTTCCAGCTTGTCAGAATAATTATGAATCTTCATCTGTTCAGTGATTTTTTGTTTTTGTTTTTACATTTATTTGTTGTAAGTAGGCTCCACACATTGAACTCATGACCTTGAGATCAAGGTTCACAGGCTCTACCCAATGAACCAGCCAGGTGCCCCCAGTTTATTCAGTGTTTTAACTGTCCTTTCCATCTTTATCTCATTGCCATATTTAATGACTATTCCTTCTGTTTCTTCCTTCATGTCCTTGAAAAGGTTCAGAGTAAGGGCAGAGCCCTGTAACCTGTCACTATAGACTTTCCTCTGCATTGTCATTGTCTTTGCATTGTTTACGTGTGGCTCTGCAGTCAGGTTTGGACAGTTCTTTTTTGAACTTAATATCATTAGAAGTCTTAACATTGCTTGTATTATTTTCTTATACTGTCAATTCTTTTTTTAGGACTGCAAAGAATCTCTTCTGTTTCTTACAAGTGCATATCTATCTAAAATTATCTCAAAAAGGTTAATTTTAAAAATCAACTATTTTTTACATTATCAAAGAACAGTTGTAGGTTATCATAAAAATAACAATAGCATCAAAAATATGATATGAGAGGGGTGCCTGGGTGGCTCAGTTGGTTAAGCATCTAACTCTTGATTTTGGCTCAGGTCATGATCTCATGGTTTGTGAGACTGAGTCCTGCGTCTGGCTCTACACTGACAACATGGAGCCTGCCTGGGATTCTCTCTCTACCTCAAAATAACTAAATGAGCATTAAAATAAATTAAAAATATGAAACAGGAGTACATCTAACTAATATGTGTAAGGTCTGTACACTTAAAACTACAAAATGTTTCTGAGAAAAAGTTTTTTCCAGCTGTATTTAGATATACTTGACTTATAACATTGTGTAGGTTTAAGTTGTCCATTGTGATGATTTGATATACCTGTATATTGGGAGTGATGACTTCAGTAAGGTTAGTTATCACATCTGTCACTCCACATACTTGCCTTCTGTGTGTGTGTGTGTGTGTGTGCAGTGACAACTTTGAAAATTTACTCTCTCAGGGGCGCCTGGGTGGCTCAGTTGGTTAAGTGTCCGATTTTAGCGCAGGTCATGATCTCACAGTCTGTGGTTCGAGCCCCACATCAGGCTCTGTGCTGACAGCTTAGAGCCTGGAGCCTGCTTCAGATTCTGTGTCTCCCTCTCTCAGCCCTTCCCCTGCTCTCTGTCTCTCAAAATAAAGACAAATTTTTTTTTTAATTTACTCTCTCAGCAACTTTCAAGTATATAATACAATATTGTTAACAACAGTCACCATGCTGTACACAGATCCCCATGCTGTACATAGATCCCCAGACCTTGCTTATCTTATACCTGGAAGTTTGTACTCTTTGCCCAGCATCTCCCCGTTTCCTCCACCTCTCAGCCCCTGGAAACCACCATTCTACTGTCTTTATGTGTTTAGCTTTTCTAGATTCTACACATAAGTGAGATCATGCAGTATTTGTCTTTCTTTTTCTTATTTCACTTAGCTAATGTTCTCAAGGCCCATCCATGATATTGCAAATGGCAGGATTTCCATCATTTTTATGGCTGAATAGTATTCCATTGTGTGTGTATATGTATATACAGGCATATCACCACTGTTGATAGAACTGTAAATTGATATAATCGCTATAGAAAACAATACATAGGTTACTCAAGAAATTAAAAATAGAACTTCCAAATGATCCAGCAATCCCACTTCTGGGTACATATCCAAAGAAAATAAAATCAGGGGCGCCTGGGTGGCTTAGTCGGTTAAGCGTCCGACTTTCGCTTGGGTCATGATCTCGCGGTTCATGGGTTCGAGCCCCGCGTCAGGCTCTGTGCTGACTGCCAGCTCAGAGCCTGGAGCCTGCTTCAGTCTGTGACTCCCTCTCTCTGACCCTCCCCTGCTCACGCTGTCTCTCTCTCTCTCTCTCCTAGAAATAAATAAAGCATTAAAAAAAAAAAAAAAAAAAAAAAAAAAAAAAAAAAAAAAAAAAAAAAAAAACAAAGAAAATAAAATCATTATCTTGGAGAAGTATCTACAGCCCCATATTTATTGTAGTGTTAATCACAATAGTCAGGACATGGAAACAACCTAAGTGTCCATCAACAGATGAATGGATAAAGAAAACATGATATATATATTTCTATAGTGGCTATACCAATTTACATTCCCATTAATAGTACACAAAGGTTCCTTTTCTCCACATCCACCAACACTTGTTATCTTTTGTCTTTTTGATAATATTCTAACAGCCATGAGGTGATATCTCACTTGGTTTGGATTTGCATTTCCTTGATACTTAATGATGTTGAGAACTTTTCAATGTACTTGCTGGCCATTTGTGTATCTTCTTTGGAAAAACATTTATTCAGGTCCTCTGCCCAGTTTTAAATTGGATTACTTGTTTTTATGCTGTCGAGTTGTATGAGTTCCTTATATATATTTGATATTAACCCCTATCGAATACATGGTGTGCAAATATTTTCTCTCACTCCATAGGTTGCCTTTTCATTTTATTGATGATTTCCTTTGCTTTTCTTTGCAGAAATTTTTTAGTTTGCCATAGTTTATGTTTGCTTGTGTTGCTTGTACTTTTGGTGTCATGTTGAAAAGGTCATTGCCAAGACCAATGTCCAGGAGCTTTCCTTCCTAGGTTTTCTTCTAGGATTTTTATGGTTTTAGATTTTGTTTAAGTCTATGGTCTATTTCAGGTTAATTTTCATGGTTGGTATATGACAGGGGTTCATTTTCCTTCTTCTACATGTGATCATCTAATTACCACCATTTTTTTTGAAGAGACCATTCTTCCACCATTCTTTCCCCATTGAGTATTCTTGGTTCCCTTGTCAAATAGTAATGGTGAAACATAAGAAGGTTTACTTCTGGGCTCTCAATTCTGTTCCATTAGTTTGTGTCTGTTTTTATGCTAGCACCATATTGTTTTCATTGCTATAGGTTTGTAACATAGTTTGAAATCAGAAAGTGTGTTGCATCCTATTGTGTTCTTCTTTTTCAGGATTGCTTTGCCTTTTTGAGGTCTTTTGGCGTTCCATATGGATTTTAGGATTGTTTTTTCTATTTCTGTGAAAAATACCATTGGAATTTTGATAGAGATTACACTGAATCTATTGATAGCTTTGGGTATTATGGACATTTTAACAATAGAAATTCTTCTGATCCATGAACATGGGATACCTTTCTATTTATTTGTGTTTTGGGTGATTTTTTTTTTCCATCAATATTTTGTAGTTTTCAGAGTAGAAATCTTTCACCTACTTGGTTAAATTTCCTCCTATGTTATTTTTTTGTTTTTGATGCTATTCTAAATGGGATTGTTTTCCCTTTTTTTTTTTTTTTTGATACTTGCTTGTTAGTGTATAGCAACACCACTGATTTTTGTATGTTGATTTTATATCCTGCAACTTTACTGAATTTGTTGATTAGTTCTAAGTGTTTTTGGTAGAGTCTTTAGGCTTTTCTCTATATAATATCATGTCGTCTGCAAACATAATTTTACTTCTTTCTTTCTGATATAGATGCCTTTTATTTCTTTTTGTTTTCCAATTACTTTGATCAGGACTTCTAGTATTATGCTAAATATAAAAGGTGAGAGTGAGAGTGGGCACCCTTCTCTTGTCCCTTATGATAAAGGGAAATCTTCAAACCTTTCATCACTGATGAGAGTGTTGTTATGTGATAACAACAACATATAGTGTTATGTTGAGTTTGAAAAGTATTGCCATTAAATCTTCCTGAAGTATTAGGTAGAGTTCACCAGTGAAACAGTCTCCTACTGGGCTTATCTTTGTTTGCGGGGGAGATTGATTACTGATTCAAACTCCTTACTCCTCATTGGTCTGTTCAGATATTCTGTTTCTTCGTGATTCAGTTTTATTAGGTTGTATGTTTCCAAGAATTTACTTTTTATAGATTATCCATTTTTAAAAAAGTTATTTATTCAGAGAAAGAGTTGAGTGTATGCAGGGATGGGGGGGAGGGGGGAGAAGAGAGAATCCCAAAGAGGATCTGTACTGTCAACTTGGAGCCTG